CTCAGATACCAGAAAATGCATAAGAGGGACTACAAACCTCATATACCTGTGAACCAGTGGACAATCTCAAGCTTCTTTTCAGAAAAGAAAATACCAACCACCCTGTTGACCCAGACAAGTAAAACATTTTGTTCCCTCTAAGTAAATTGTGTGGCTAGTCTTGCTACTCTTACTCCCTTGAGATCCTTGTCCCAAGTTATACCATGACCTTTCTTGGATTTTTTCTTTATTTGCGGGCGGGGCGGGGGGGGGTCCTCCTGGATGATTAAAAAACTAACTCTAGTAGAAATAGTAGTGACTACTTACATAAAACTTTAAAGCCAATTGCATCTTTCTCCTATCATCAACAGCTACCTAAGAACTTGACAGTCAGCCTAGATGAACTTGCCTAGAGCACTGCTGTCCTTCAAGATTAAATAGACCCAGGGGACGGGGGTTTAGCTCAGTGGTTCCACCGCGCCTGCCTTGCAAGCACAAGGTCCTGAGTTCGATCCCTGGCACCAAAAAAAAAAAAAAAAAAAGATTAAATAGAACCACTATCAGTGGTAGCTATACAGCATCGTAGGAGACCAGATCTCCTGATGCTGAAACAGAAGGGTTATGTTTATCTCTAAAAGAGAAATGTAGTTCCTATGTCAATCAGTCTGAAATACTGAGAAATACAGCACAAAAACTGGCTGACTGTGCTTCTAAGATCCACAAAGAATTGTCTGAGTCATGGATATCCTGGCCAAATACCTGGAATTGGGGGTGTTGGTTACTGTCCTGGGCATGGCCTTTATTAATGCTTTTTGTAACCTTACTACTTAGATCTTACATACTTAATGTCTTGGTCAAATTTGTTTCTTCTTGTTTGATAGCTATTAACCTACTGGTGACAGCCCTAGCTCAATACTGGAACCTGCCCCCACCTCCACAATTCATCAAGAAATCCCTGGAGGAAGAACTCACCTCTCTTGAACTCATAGATCAGTTAGAGCAAGGGTTCCTTGGTCTCCATGTATGTAGAGCCAGCACCCTTATTCAGCCAGAAGTAGCCAAAGAAGATGGAATTTCCTCTTTCAACACCCACAAAGATTTTGGGGGACCAGAGCTGGGTGTGGGGATAGTACAGTTAGAAATAATGTAGCTGAGGGACTCATTCCCTTACACCCATTTAATTTTAAACAGCATTCTATGGCCATTCTTCTTTCCATCGTTGTTAAGAGAGTTAGAAAACAAAGTAACAAAAACCTAGGAGCTCTCTGATGCTCTAGGCAAGTGCACATGCGTCTCCTAGCCTGACCTTCAGTGGCCTTCATTCTACTCCCACCTCATTAAGGGTTGGTTTATAAATATTTACTATATCTCATGCATATAATTAAGATCAGAGTGAATTCTGGGACAGGGATGCAGGTTGAGAGTCCCTAAGATGACACAGCATCCTGTCCATCATGTCTGTCAATCATACTTGTCAATCATGCTTATTCTTTAAATTCCAGAAGCCTGATGTGTCAGGGGCTGTTGCTGCTTCTGTGTGTGTGATCTGTGGGCAGTGCTTTTGTTTCTCTCATCACCCTGGCCCCACTTTTCCGTCTGTGCCATGTCTTTTGTCAGCACGGGCTGGTCCTGAGCACAGCTTCCTGCAATCTTCAATAAATGTGGCTGCTTACCTCTTGCTAGTGGGTGTTACTTGGCAATTCTTTGCTCATCTTACATCATACCTGGATTACACATGCTCTTTACACTGTAACACAGGTGTCCAGTAACACTGTCTGCCATATAAATCAGTTTGTTTCTCTTATATATAAAACAGGAACATCCTAGGCTGGGATGCAGTTCAGTGTCAGAACACTTGTGTAGCATGTGGACTTAAGTTTGATCCCCAACACTGCAAATAAATAGATAGGATCACCCTAACTCAGATTCTTGAGGGTTAAAAGGCCTTAGGTAACTGATTTGGATTCTGAGTCCTTTCATTCTTTAAAAGATACAATTTAAATAATTACATTCAGATAGTAGTCATCATCCTAGGTAGTGCTTTGCTTTGTGCGTGAGAACAAAGCCAATTGTGACAAATGGTTTATTCTATTCTTAAGATTTACAGCTTCTTTTTAGACTCATTAGACTATAATCCCAGGGAATGAGGAGGCAGAAGGATGTCCATTCTGGAAACTTAGCAATACCCTGTCCCAGAGTAAAATTTTAAAAAGCCTGGGAATTGGGGAGGGGGATGAGAATGACTGCAGTAAGAAACAGCGCAGACTGGCTCTCCTCGGGTGACCAGAGGGGCTTGGGGACAGGCTGCATGCAGCCTCTGCCCTGCAGGCCCCAGAGCTGTCACTGTGGCTGCCCACTGCCAGGCCAGGCTTTGAAGCACAGGGAAATCACTCTTCCACCCCAAGAAAAGCAGGATTACAACTTTTCCTAACCGATTTGAGTTGGTGTAGTATATTCTGCCAGGGATTTAGCTCAGTGGTTCGGGTGGCCACCTGGCAAGTGCAAGGTCCCAAGTTTGATCGCCGGAACCAAAAAAAAATACTCCAGGAGCTTTGGGATTTTGGATTGGTGAATATTCACACTGTGTGGAAAAGGATGACACACACTGTACAATCTCAGTCACACAAAATGACACGATGTATGTATAACACAGGACCTCGAAGGACGCATCCAACTAAACCAGTAAAAACTGCAAATGACTTTTCTCCTAGTATTATTTATTTCCTGTAATGCACACATTAACTTTTTTGAAAATATTGTTTTTAAAACTCAAAAAAAGCCAGGTGTGGTGCTGCACACATGTAATCTCAGCACTCAGGAGGCTGAGGCAGAAAGATCACCTTGAGTTCAAGACCAGCCTGAACTGCATAGCAAGACCTTGACTCAAAAAGTCTTTTAATAAATAAATAAATAAATGGCTAGGGATGTAGCTCAGTCTCGAAGCAAGCATGAGATCCTGGGTTCAATCCCTGGAACCATACACATGCACACATATGCACACGCATGCACACACACACAATTATTTTTGCAGATTCTTTGGTAGTCTGCTAAATTGTTTTTGAACTTTTCAGAGTATTTTCTGATGCTCAGTTGATTTTTTTCCAAGGTTAAGGTTAAGGTTCACCTTGTTTGGTTTGAACAGGAGAGCATATTCTGATCATAGAAGCTTTCACTTATTTTGAAATGTTTAAATAATATTTTAGGATACAAGAAACAGGTTTATTTTCAAAAACCTTTGCTTTCTTTTTCAGTTAGCTCCAGAGAAGAACTGGCTTTTAAGATATCAAGAAGTATTCACTCCACTTCTGAAGGCCTAGCCACCCATTGTCAGGAAGCAGGAACAGTAAAGTGTAAAGAGATCACCAATACTTGTGATAACATTTTTATCATATTCTTTTAAATCTATGATTTTGGAAATGTTTATATTTCTCTTGTATGAAACCTGTTGGCAATGCTAGCTTCTGCTTCTGATTTTATTTTCAATTTAGAATATAGTCTCTATTAAATAATACTTATCCAACAGATTACATTTTTAAAATGTAAACCCTGTTCTCTTTCTGTCACTAAGTCAGTAGTATTGTTTTAAATTTTAAAAAGTTTCCTGGCTGTGTGAGGCCCTAAGCTTGATCCCCAGCCCTGGGAAGGAGGTCTTCAAAGAAAAGGAGTATCTTTTATTGTTAAATTTAGCAGCTCAAAGCCTTTGGACAGTGCCGTCCAGTAAGATAGTCCCTAACTCTAGCCACATGTGACTACTGAGCACTTAAAATATGACTAGTTAGTCCCAATTGAAACATGCTGTAAAACATACACTGAATTCTTTTTTTTTTTTGATCCTGGGGATCGAACTCGTGTCCTTGTGCTTGTGCAGCAGACGGCGAAACCACTGAGCTAAATCCCCAGCCTTGTACACTGAATTCTTAAGGGGGGTTGATGGTACAATGATTTCTACATAAGGATGTAAAGTATATTTTGATTATATGATGAAATGACAATGTTCTGGTTACACTAAACAAATATATCATCAAAATTAATTCATCTTTAAAAAAATTTAAATATGTATCATTGTCAGAATAGAGGAGACCCAATTACATCTGAATTTCATATACTTATACTAAAAATCCCTTTATCTAAAATTTGAATTTAACTGTTTATTTTTAATTGCTAAACCTAGAAATTTTATTAATATGGCTGCTAGAATATTCAGAATTACAAATGTACCTGGCTTCGGCAGTATAGATAATCCCAGTGACTGGGAAGGCTGAGGCAGGAATATGCTTGAGCCCAGGAGTTCAAGACCAGCCTTGAGCAACATAGCGAGACCCTGTCTCTACAGCCCCTTACACTACTAGACAATGCTGCTTTAGAATCACGTACTGTAGCTCCTTTTCTTTTTTAATCAGTCAGCTCTTGAAATAATCTGAGTAAACTACGCAAAAATAACTAACTTGAGTGGAACATTTAATCCTCGGCTAGGATTCTTAATAATCTTGAAGTTAAATTTTTACACTGGGTTGAACAAGTTAAAGAACAGATAGATGGTTTCTTAAAGAACAAAATGTAGAAAAGGCATTTGAGTTAGAATTAAGTCACTGCTCCCAGCCTCGCTGTTGAGGTGGTTAAGGCCCAGTTTCAAAAGACTCCTTTACCCCTACTTAAGGACCCGCGGTGTCAGGGACAGCTGTCGCTGTGATCTCCCGGGCCAGTCAGTCCCTCTCTGGGCCTCGGCAATAATAAATCGGAAAAAATAATAATAATAATAATAATAATAATAATAATAATAATAAATCGGGAGGGGAACACTTTTAAAGTCAAGTCTCCGTGTCGCTCGGCCACGGGACACCAGGAGACGCCACTGGCCCTTCCAAGAAAAGCAATGTCAGCCTTGCACTCCAAGGTCACCGAACTCTCGGCCCAGGAGGCAGACCCGGGTCACCTTGGCGACCGCTCGGGATGTGGTCCGAGGAGGCCCCGCCCCACAGCCCCCTCACGCAGCCGCCCGCCCTCTGCGTCACGAGGCTCCGCCTCTCACCGCCTCGGGCGCCGCGCTGTGGGCTGGCGGGGCGGGCTTTGCGGCCCAGGCCCAGGCCCAGAACCCGCCCCGGCCTCGCGCACTATGTAAGGCTGCTTGCGGGGCCGGGGCTGTGGCGGAGCAGCGGGAGCTCGCGGGCCTGACTGGGGGAGGACGGTCTGCGGGTGCCGTGCACGGCCGCATCCCGCTGAAGGCGGCATGCGGGACTACGAGGAGGTGACCGCCTTCCTGGGCGAGTGGGGGCCCTTCCAGCGCCTCGTCTTCTTCCTGCTCAGCGCCAGCATCATCCCCAATGGCTTCAATGGGATGTCGTTTGTGTTCCTGGCGGGGTCCCCGGAGCACCGCTGCCGGGTTCCGGACGCCGCGAACCTGAGCAGCGCGTGGCGCAACCACAGCATCCCGCTGCTGCTGCGCGACGGCCGCGAGGTGCCCGACGGCTGCCGCCGCTACCGGCTCGCCACCATCGCCAACTTCTCCGCGCTCGGGCTGGAGCCGGGGCGCGACGTGGAGCTGGGGCAGCTGGAGCAGGAGCGCTGCCTGGATGGCTGGGAGTTCAGCCAGGACGTCTTCCAGTCCACCATCGTGACCGAGGTGGGTGGCAGCCGGGCTCCGGGGTCTGGTGGCGTGGAGGGACTGTAGAGGTCCTTGCACCTTCCCAGGTGTGCGCTGGTTGCTGTCACTCCCCCCTTATCATGGCTCAGAGCTCTAGTGATGGGCATCCTTCAGCCAAGTGGCTCGGGAACTCTACAGTGACTCCCAGCCAGAGTGTATCACACAGTACGGGTGGCAGGGTGGCCACCCACTCCTTTCTAGCCACACTGCCAGAAAGGCTCTGGCAGCCTGGGAGATACTCTAAGCCCCTGAGTGGCCCAACTTTCTCTAGATGGTGGTGGGAAAGATGAGAAAAACCAGGGCTTAAACCAAGGGACTGTCACCATTTTTCCTCAAGCCTCATGGCATCTATTGAAAAAAAAAAAAAAAGGAAATACTACTCTTTCCAGAACTTTTAAAGTTAAAGGAAGCATAAAACTATTTCTCTCTTTTCTCTAGTTACTCCTTCCCCCACTGTTCCTCCCTCCAAACAATTGTTTTCCTTTTTCCCATGGTCAGTTGTCATTGTGTACACATCTGTGCATCTGAAGATCCTGGAGTGTCTTCTAGGACCTTCAAGGCAATGTCACTGGCCAGATTTAGTTGAAGCATACGACCTTAGTTTGTAGGGACTGGAGGGCGGGGGCACTGTTATCCCCTCCAGAAGCTCTGAAGGGCCACCACAGAGGGTTGTCACCTTTCAAAGGTAGAGTGTGAGAGCTGACCGAAGAGACTCACTGCGTGCGTTTTCTCTGTATGTTTGGAAGTTGGATGCCCCAGCCCCTGTGCCTGCTCACTTATCCCGCACAGAAGTAGTAGGAGTGTGACCTGAGCCTCTGCTTGATTGCACATCTAGTGACATCATCCTAGTGTCCTGAAGCATTGTTCCTTGACCAAAGAGGCATTGACAGGAGGCTGCCTTCTGGTTTGTATCCATAGAGAATGAGAACTTTCAGTTGCCCCAAATCCTGATTTCTAGCCTCAAAAGTGAGTCTGCCACCTTCTTGGAAGCCAGAGGGAACTGTGAAAAAAGAGGCTGTGCCCGGGATTTCAAGCAGAAGACACACAGAGGAAGACAGGCTTTGTGACATAGGAGTCCCTACAAATTCTGCTTGTGGCTGCTCAAAGAAGGGGAAGATGTGAAGTCAGAAGCAGCTCGTAGCAGCTCGCGGGTTTGCCCTGACGTTTAGGGCTCCCCTCTTGCTGTAGCCACTGGTACTTAGTTCTCTGTCCCCATCTTGCCTTCTGCAGAGAGTGGTGGTGGCATTGATAAGCTCCCAAAGGCCAGATTAACAGGAAGTATGTCAACCCTTCTGACCCGACCTTATTGCCAGTGTTGTCAGACTTTTTTTAATTACGTTCGGACTCTATTCAGCTATTCAGCAGTTTTGTAAGAGCTATGTGCCCTTTCACCTACTTACAGGTTGTCAGTCTTTGCAGGAAGGCAAGATTAATACTTTACTTAGCCCTTTGTTTTGAGATTCTGAAATGCCTGACTTAAAGTTTGAGTCTGCTTGTTCCTGTCAAGTGTACAGTCACTGTTGGAAACTGCTGCATCAGCATCCTGATGACTTTTCTAAAGCACATTTTCTTTCATCCAGACTTGGTCTATTGACCACTGAAGCTCATTCTGTGACTATTAAGTGTCTTCAAGCCTCCCCTCTGCCCTAAATCAAACATAAAGTAGTTTATAAGTGCACTGGTATTGAATTCCTATTCATATTGTTTTACAGAAGACTAAATCTTCAGGTCTCCTGTTTGATTTCTTTTCTTTTCTTTTTTTTCTAGTAGGTTAAAGTACATACATGTAGCACTAAACTTGGGATCTCCCTCAATTTCTTTTTTCTTTTTTTTTGGTACTGGGGATCAAACTTGGGTCCTTGGGTCCTTGTGCTTGCGCAGCAGGCGGTGAAACCACTGAGCTAGATCCCCGACCCCTCCCTCAATTTCTGACACAATGCAGGGGAATTTTCCACTCAAGAAAACTTCAACTGAATGGTTAATGAATAACCTAGTAAATCTCTAAAATTTAAAAACTAAAGAAAAATGAGTAGTTTAATTCATAGAAGAGAAACTTGGAAGTAGCCTAAAAGGATTTACAGCCATCTTTTAAGGAAATCTTATTCTCTATCCCTTTGACTGGAACTTGGTGCTATGTCTCTGGAACAAGGCACCAAGATGGGCAGAAAGAAGTGAGAGGTTTGTGTGCCCATGTTTCTGGACTAGCTTGGTGATCCACATACTTCTAGGCTGGCCTCTCCTTTGGCCACTCTGTCATCCCTAGGCACTAGGAAATCAGCCAACCCAACCTGCTGTGCTTTTGAAACCACAGCTGCCCCTTTCCTCTGGAACCTGGGTGATTTCTCAGGTTGCTGGGGTACCTGTTCTTTGGTTTCACCGTGTCCCAGCCCAGCATGTAGGCAGAAAGTTACCCTTAGTAACTTCTAAGGCTTCTGGCCCCTAAGTTAGGGCTCTTTCACCTGAGACCTGGCAGTCTTGGTTCCTGCCTCTTTCTGCTTTCCAGAAACCCCCAGCCCAGTGTTTGGTGGGACTCCTGTTTCCTCTGGTCATGGACTAGCTTTTTCTATCAGTCTTGTCCATGTCTCCATATTCCTGGTTGATAGGATAGCCCACTGTTATCCACCAGCCTGCCTGGATGAAAAGCCTCAGCATCCTGGGAGGTAGGACCAGGGCTAACTGTGGCCTAAAGAGACCAGAGCGACCTGGAGCCTGTGCCTTGCTGTTGTACCTTTTCTGACTTCTCTCAAGAGAAGCACAGACCCTCATCTGTGCCTTTGCAGTGGCATAACAAACTAGACAAGCCTCTTGCCAGGCTCTGTGGCCCCTCGTTTATGCATAGTGTAGTAGACACATCTGGCCATGAGGTCAGATTGAGCCCCTTTCTACTCTACCTGGCTTAGAACTATCATGCTGGGCCCATGTTCTGACAGTTGGCACAAGGCTGGGAGTCAGGGAGAAAAGAATTTATTCTGGACTTTGGGCATTCAAGGGCAAGAACTAAGTTGTAAAGATACTATTGTGAAGCAGCTGTCATCATATAAACCAAGTCTGTTGTCTCATAAAGTCGAAGAATGAAATCATGGACAGAAAGAAAGTTAAAGGGGAAGTGTTTATTGGGAATATAAGAAGAAAAAGAGCTCTTGGTGGACATCTAAGAAGACTCCCAGAGAGTGGGGTGCCATGCAGTGCCTCAGCCCAGAACTTTTTATGGATAGGGGGACCACAAGAATTATTCCGTTATTTAGTGATCACAAGCAGCTCTTTGGGTTTAAAATGACCAATTGGAATTCAGGATCTCTAAACTATACACTTATAGAGGATATAGGCTTTTTGTTTTTGTTTTTTTTGGTGTGGGGGAGGTTGGTACCAGGGATCGAACTCAAGACCTTGCGCTTGCGAGGCAGGTGGTGGCACCGCTGAGCTAAATCCCCGGCCCGTATAGAGGATATGGTAGCAAATATCTCTTCTCTATGCCCCGACAGTCTTGGGGGAAAGATTCACCATTAAATTTATTTTATTTGGAGGCTGGGTCCTCTGTCTTCCAGGCTTGCCTTCAACTCCTGGGCTCAAACAGTCTTCCTCCCTTAGCCTTCTTAGTACCTAGAATTGTATAGACTTGTGATACTGTGCCCGGTGAGGATCCACCATTAGTAGTGAGAGGCAGGATGAAGTGTATGTGGGGATTCATGGGCTTCAGTAACACGAGTTGCCTACCAGTGAGTTGACCATTGAGGCAGGCAAAGTAGGTGCACCTCGGGGAAAAACTTATGGGCACATATCCTCTTTTCCCTAAGTTAGTTCATGGGTAAGACATTTAGTCCCAGGGAACTATGTCCTCTCTACATCCCATAACTGAAAAGCTGCTCCAGTTATGCACAAGATGCAAAAGACACAGCTCTTCTTCTTTTTAAAAAGTTTTATCAGCTTTATTGAGGCAGATAAATGCTATAAAGCAACTACACAGATTTAAATTGTACAATTGAAAAGCTTTGACATGTGTACCTATACACCCTGAAGACATCACCCTGGAGCACATTTCTGGGCAGGAAGAGGGCAAGGCAAGGCCCCTTGCAGCATCCCTCCTGCGTTCTCTCAGGTTGGCCCTGCTTTCACAGGCCACTCAGGTAGATGCTAGACTTAGGACCCAACTCTTAGACCCATACATTTATCTTTAACATGGATACCTGCTGTCATCAGCTGTTATAAGCCATCTCATGTGCCAAGCAGGGACATCAATAAGCAGGTCTGCAGCTGCCTTAGTCATAGATGAGGAGCCAGGGGATCAGTGCAGGGACACTAAATGCCTTTGTAAGCACATTAAACAGGGTACTTAGCATGGACTCTGTGAGCTGCTCACCCCTTCCCTCCTAAGGAAGATTCAGGCCAAGACCTGGAACCCATTGAAATCTAGTGGTTGTCAGTTACGTGGATGGATTGGCTGGGTGTGACCCGTTCTGTGCCTGCCCTTACGTTAATCTGAAACCTATTGCCTTTCCTGACCCTTCTCACAGACCCCTGGTGGCCACAGGAAAGAAGTGTTCATGATCCTTCCTTTTAGAGAGCCCAGAGCCAGCCCCTGAGCTGTCAGAGACTTGATAGATCGTGAGCACAGTTACTCCAGGGAGTTACACATGCGCCCAGACTAAGGACAGGCTGGACCGAGTGCAGAGAGACGGGATGAGAAACCTAAGAGATACTCCAGGGCTCTCTCAGGATGAGCACTACCATCATTCTGTCCTCTGAACAGCAGTCTGAACTAGTTTTAGATGTCACTCAGCCTTGCCAGTGTAAGATTTCCTGGAAGTTTGTTTTTAGGAAACCCTACTGGGGTCTGCAACCCCAAGACTGCAGAAACCCATGTGGATCTCTTTTCTAACTCAGCCATATGATCCTCCAACTCTCATGAAAGAACTGTTGAAAAAAACAGGCGCTGGCCTTTGATTCATTTCATTTTTGTTGCTGCAAAAGTAATAGAGTGGCAGTAGCCATAAAGCAGCCCCTGCAGCTAGGCCGGACACCCAGAAGCTGACACCCATCTTTGTTTCTCTTGGCTGTGTCTCCCCACCACTCCAAGTCCTGGCTCTCACAGCGCTGGGTGGATGGGGGCTACGCTCAGAGTGCTCTCCCCCCGCCAGAGAGGGAGCATTGGGTGCTGGGGCACTGACACTGCACGGGTAGGAAGGCTGCACCATCCTGAGCTACCAGCTGTGGTGCTGTGTCCTGACTCCTGCCAGTCTGGGCTTCCTCCAGATTTGGGAGTTGGACACCCCCAGTCTTCCCTAGGTGGGGATCGCCATCCCACTTAGCCTATCCGGTGCATGTTTATTCCAAAGTAAAGAGCCTGCAGCAGGCCTACGTGAACCATGTAGGCTACAGGGGGCTCTTCATGTCTGGCTAGGGGCCGCCCTCCGATCCCTCTGAGAGGTGCCCAGAGGCTGTGTACACAGCCTAGCAGAACAGAGAAGCAGACTTGTTTTTCCTTGTCAGTGGCCTGGAAGAGATGCTTTGTTCTGGGGAGCTGCATGCCCCATCTCTGTTGGTTACTGGGGAGCTAACAGTCTCTATAGCAGGCTGTACCTCAGGGCCAAACAGGTAGGCTTTGAGTACCCAGAATGGTGGCCCAGCATGAGAAGTCCAAAAATGTCACGCACTACTCTGCACATCTCTGTTCTGGGAGACATCTTCCTGGGAATCACGGAGTTCCCTGATCTGGCTTTCTTCCTTCATCTGGCTCTTTGTTAGGGTGGGTGTCTGAGTGTCTAACTGCTTTCCCCATGAGCCAACACCCTGGAGCTACACATTAGGTCCTGGAATCTTGAACTGGCCACCCTGTTCCCTACCCCAGTCTCTGTTTTACAAACAGAAAAATCAAAGCAGGGTGTGGTGGTAGGGAGTTGTCTGAAATTGGACAACCAGTTCACACTAGAATGGAATGTAAAACCCAGGTGCCTCGTGCCAGATCCTGTGATCCAAGACAGGAGAGAGGGCTCCAACCCAAAAGAGCATTTACGGAGTTGTCTGCTCTGCCCTATCCGTGTGGATCTGCTCCAGAGCCTCCCAAAAATCAGTTTGTGAAACTGTTAATTTATATACTATTCTCACAGGGATATAGATCTCTCTGGCTCAAGGTTGCTGCTTCTTTTGCAGCCACCTTAGCATCAGCTTAAGCTAGTCCGATCGCCAGTGTAGCAAGCACCACCACACCCCTTTACTGTAGCATACGATATGACCCTCCAAGTCCTGCTCTGTTCTATTAAAAATATATAAACATTGTATAGAAAGGACACAGAGCTATTCTAAAAGAGTGGCTACTTCTGTCAAGCAGGTAGAAGAGGATGGGATGGACCAGGTGAGCTGTTACCTGTAACCTTGCACTGCTTCTTTTTTTGGTACTGGGGATCGAACTCGGGCCCTTGCGATTGTGAGGCAGGTGGCAGCACCACTGAGCTAAATCTATGGCAAAATAGAATAACATAGGCCAGGGATTTAGCTCAGTGGTTCCAGTGCCTGCCTCACGAGCGCAAGGTCTGGAGTTCAATCCCCAGTACAAAAAAAAAAAAAAGAATAGCATGGAGGGTACAAAATAACTTATGTTATCTTCTGCTCTTGAATGTGTCAAGTATGCTACAATGAACATTTATATTTTTTCAATGATGTACTTTGAAGATCATATTCTGATTGTTTATCAGCAAGTTGTAGGATGTCCTTCGATGAATCCATCATTCTCCAAGTTCTGAGCTGACTGTACTTGGTCTCCAAGGGAAAGTAATCATGGATGCAGCTGTAGGTGGACGAGATGGTTTTGCAGTTCACGATGGTGTCACCGTACCCAGGCTGGGGTGGCGTAAAAGCGAACCCACGGGGTGTTGCTACACAGTTACACATTATGTCCCTCCATCCGAGCACTTGCTTCCCCTATGACCCCACCTCCGTTGTTAAAATCTTCTCCCAGACTGCTTGCTTCCCTTCTGGGAAGGAGATGGGTTTTAATGATATATCTATCTTGCCACCCAGCAAAGCTGCAGAAGACCTCACACCTGCTGAACTTCCCTTGCCTAGGGAAGGAGCTGAAGGGTAGCTGCTCTTTCTTGAAGGTCACCGTGCTTTAGCTTGGGTCCCTGTTGAGACAACAGCTTGGGTTCACATGATGTGTACTGGTCTCTGGGAAAGGGGCTGAGGTTGATGTCGTGAGGCCTTGAAAGTGGGATCAATGGTATAAATAGGCCTATCTGAGAGAGATGAGAATGAAGAGAAGCCCCTTAACTAGCATTTTTCCTTTCCAACCCAAAGAACCCATGTTACTTTACATCCTATTAAAAAGTTAAGCTTCTCCAAAATAAATAAAGCCCAGTCTCCTGACTTCTAGCTCAGAGCTCTCAGCCTTAATTGGGCCTAGCATTGTCGGTGTGCAGTACCAGGGATTCCAGCTCTAAATGTCACAAGAAGGACTGGGTCGGTGGCTCAGTGGAGGCCTGAGCTGAGCTGAAGAAGCCGGTCCATATGGTTTACCTTTGGACCTCTGGCCTCAGTTCTTGCTGGATGCTTTGTCTTCCTTGAGCTTCAGGGGCCTGAACCCCACTGAGTAAGGGCACCTTGCCTCTTCCACAGCTCTGAGTTCTGTCCACCTTCTTAGGTGTGAGCACGAGAGTCCTTGCTCACAGGAGGTCAGTATCTGGGCAGAATGCTGTTCCCTGCCTATTTCCCCTCCTCAAAACAGAAGCAAGACAAGGAGCCCCATACTCTGAAAAACCAGATGGGGAGGGAGAGGCAACCTGCCCAAGTGATCCATTACCTTTCATACACCTAGCAGGGATGCAGGATATTCTGATTTCAGTTTTTAAATTTAAAATCTTTTTTAAAAAGAAGTGAGTGATACATCCCTTTGCTCCTCTTACAGTGGAACCTGGTGTGTGAGGACGACTGGAAGACCCCGCTCTGCATGTCCTTGTTTTTCGTTGGTGTCCTAGTGGGCTCCTTCATTTCAGGGCAGCTCTCAGACAGGTAAGTTATCTGTCTTCTGCAGCTGCAATACCCCAACACTGAGCAAGAAGTGTGTTCCCGGCCTTGACTCCATTAGTAGTGTTCTCTAAGACCAGGGCCTTGCATTTTAATAGAAGAGGAAACTGTGCCTAGTATAGACTTCATGCCAAGTAAAATGCCCAAGAATCTCCCACCCTACTCCTTAATTCTGATTGAGTAAAGAAAGCTGAGCTGCCCAAGCCAAGTGTAGCCATGATGGGGTGATCAGGTAATATGCCACTATCACTTCCACACTTGCATGGTTGCCTTCCCTGGGTGAACACAGCACTCTCATGTCCTTAAATGTGGGAGAGGTTGATACCATGCACACATGTGCATTCCCTGTATTGTAGATTTTTAGACAGTACCACCGTGAGCATCTCTGTATTCCCAAGAAGACCAGCATTTTTTTATGCAAGATAAGAGAAGATCTCACTACCCCACGGTTCTATAAGGAGCAGAACTCATGTCCACCAGGCTGAGGCCCCTAAGCTAAATCGAAGTGTTTTGTTTTTGTTTTGTTTGTTTGTTTGTTTGAGTACTGGGAATTGAACCCAGGATATCACACATGCTGACCTGAAACTCACACCAATCCTGGCTCATAGCTCAGCCTTCCACGTGCTTGGATTATAGTTGTGTCCCACCATGCCCGGCAGTTCCCAGGCTTTTAATTTAAAGTCCATCAGTGGTTTAGGAAATCCAGAAACCCTTGAAATTCCATGAAAATGGTAAAGATAGTATGTAAGCCTTTTTTTTCGAGCAAGTTTTCATGAAGTTCTCAAAGGGTTCCATTATGTTGTATCGTCCTATCCTGGACTTTCAGGGTCCGTCATGGAAGCCTGAGATGGGAAGAGTGGCATTCAGCAAGTCCTTGGCCACAGTGGTGCAGAAAGGACACCCACATAATCGGTAGGGCACCCTGTATGGAAGAGTCCCAGCATCCTCCGAGCTGCTTGGGCACTCATGAAAGTCGGAATGAGAGAACATCATCCTCCTACGGAACAAAGACACTTTATCCTGTACCTAGGGAAGTTAGAAGGATACCATTGTGTCAGTATTGACACCTGTGGATTATTGTCAACTTTTTCCTCATGAAAAATTTAATATGTGCATTTCTCCAAAGTGTTATGTAGTGACTAAAAACAAAAATTCCCACAGTCACCAGTGGGTATTAGACTCAGTAGGCCATGAGACACTTGCCTATGGGGAGAAGGCCTTTGCTTCTCTGGGTCTTTAGTAGGAAGCATCAGTTGTTTACTTACATTGATTTAACAAACATGCAGTATTTAATATGTGCTACTCATTGTTACAAGTACTGTACAATTAAAAAACTCATAACCCTATGACGTAGTATGTTAGCTTTCCATTGTGACAAAATACCTGAGGGAAATCAACTTAGAAGAGGAAAGATTTATTTTGGCTCATAGCTTCAGATAGCAGTCGCTTGGCTCCATTGTTTCTGGGCCTGTCGGGAGGCAAGCAGCACATGGTGGGATCAAAGGTGCTTTTGACCTCCGGGCAGCCAGGAAGCGCAGGGAGAGCTCACTTGTATGACAAAGTCTCTTCCCCAAGCCAGTGAAGTTAGGAATCCATAAGTGGGTTAATCCATTGATGAAACCAGAGCCCTTACCTTCCAGTCACCTGCATAGGCCTCGCCTTGGAATACTGCTCCATCAAGGACCAAACTTTCAACACATGAGCTTTCAAGGGATATTTAAAATTTAAACCCCGTGGGCTCAATACCCAGCACCAGCCTCCCCCCAAATACATTATTCCCATTTTATAGTGGGGAGAATGAAACACGGAGGTTAAGTAACATGCCCAAAGTCACAGGGCTGGCAAGTGGCAGGCGTAGGGTTTGGACCCAGACAGTCTTGCTCCTCTGCTTTGTGTAGATGAATACTTGAAGTCCCTGCTCTCCTGGAACTTGTCTTCTAAACAAGCAGGCGGAATGTATTAAACAACTGATTGAGAAAGTGATTATCGGTGGTGGTGGAAAGTGATATAGAGAAGTACAGGTGCTATAGGAGTGTCTAACCGAGGACTGGGGAGGCATCCCTGAGACGTGAAGCGGGAGTGGAGAGTTGGGAGATGAGTGGAAATTAGCCAGCTAACAGGGTGGTGAGAGATAAGCATTCTAGGCAGGTGGAGTGGCCCACACTAAAGCCTACAAGGGAACCTAGGAACAGAAGAAGTCCTGTGTAGTAGAAGTGAAGGCCGTGAGGCAGACAGATGTACAAACATAACAGGAAAAGGCTTAGTAGACCGCGATGAGGAGTTAGGCCTCATTGTGGAGGAGCTATTGAGAGTTTATAGAGTGTGGGGCCGGGGATTCAGCTCAGTGGCACCGCGCCTGCCTCACAAGCACAAGGTCCTGAGTTTGAACCCAGTAAAAAAAAAAAAGATGAGTGTGGCAGCAGATTTGCTTCTTTTTTTCTTTCAATACTAGGGGTTGGGCCCATGGTCATCACCCTGAAGTATATCTCCAGTTTTCTGTTTTTCTTTTCTTTTTTTTTTTTTTTTTTTTTGGTCAGGGTCTAAGTGCCTAAATTACCCAGGCTAGGCTCAAATTTAGTAATCCTCCTGCCTCAGCCTCCCAGAGTGCTTATATTATAGGCATGTACCATGTGCAGCCAGATTATATTTTTTAAGGGATGGTATGACAGCCGTGTGGAGAAAGGATTGAAGAGATATTGTGGAGAGACCAGTTTCATAGTAGTTCATGCAAAGGATGATGGTGACTTGGCCTACAATGAGGTCGGTAGAAACAGAGAAAAATGGTGGGGGTCAGGTCAGTAGGACTTGCTGATGGGGTACAAGTGGGAAGTGAGTCAGGGGTAATGCCGTGTACCTGTAATCCCGGCTACTTGGGATACTGCAGCAACAGGATCTCAAGTTTGAGGTCGGTCTGAAAAATTTAGTGAGACCCTATCTCAAAAAGAAAGAAAGAAAGAAGTAAGCAGCTCAGGGAACTCAGTGAGGTCCTGTCATTTGATTAGCAGGTGGATAGATAGAGCGATAGGCAGGCAGGCAGGCAGGCAGGCCAGAGATGTAGCATAGTGCTCCCTGGGTTTAACCCCCAATACCACTAAAGGTGGTGGGTCTGCAAAACCCATTGAAAGATGATACCCTTCCCTGAGACAGAGAATGTTCGCAGGGAATCTTATTTCCAAAGAAAGCATTGAGTTTGGTTGGAACATACTGAATTTGGGGGTACTGGGACCCCTATGTTGAGAAATCAGTTATGTGGCTGGATGTATGGATATGGTACTCCATGAGCAGTTCAGGCTGAAGAAGCAGATCTGAAAATTGTCAGCCATGTAGAACCCACATCAAAGCCCCAGATGTGGATGAGATGGCCAGGGGAGGGACAGCACTGAGCTTAGGGCCCTCCAAGTGGAGAGGGGGTATCCTCTCGTAGGGAGAGTAAGTGGCAGCTGAGGCTCAGAGGGATTGCACTGGTGTGAAAAACAAGAGGAGTTACTCCGAGTTCAGAGTGGAAACTCAATACTTCCCTGCCTCAAATGTGTATCGGGTTAATAGATCTTAATGGGCCAGCTTAAAAACCTGTTAATCATGTAACACCACGATCACCCAAGGAAAATGTTTAAGTTCCAAAAGGATTACTCCCACAGAAACAGTAGAAACAAGATTCAGGAGAACGTTGAGAATTGCCTCAGCATACAAAAGGGCTGACATACACAATGTGTTCAAGTCTTTTAAAAAATTTGGCAGCGGAACTTTTTTTCAGTGGGGTCATTTAAGTCCAATAAATAAAACAGCAAAATAGGTATGACTGTGCTGCAGCAGCTCCCATCATGGCCCTCGAGCTTGTCTGCACCCCCATGGCAGGCTCAGGGCTCTGTGGGATGGAAGCGTCTCATCCTGTTATCTTTAAGTAAGTCAATTCTAAAACCTAAGCCAAGTAAATTACCCAAGAGCTATAGATTCAACTGCCCTCAACTGTTGTCCAGGATATCAGCGGGAACTTTTTGTATGGGATAAAGGTGTATTTAGCCTTCTTCCTGGTGTATTATTAAGTCTGAAATTCAAGAGTAATTAAAATAATCATAGGTTGCCAAAGCCTTTTATCTGACATTATTGTTAGATCTTTATTAATTGTGAGAGGTACAGCACTTGGAAGAAGTAGACCAGTATTTCCTGTTTTTGTAGATAGGTGTGTATTTGCCATTTGGTTGATGGATTTTTAAAAGTAGGCATTTCTGGCCACTTTTGACTGCCTAGCGCCAGTGCTGTGGCAGGGCTCTCTGAGCCTTTTCTTTACCATCCTAGGGAGCGCTTGGTGCAGAGGTTATGCCAGTCTGCCTTCTAGACCGCCCCTTGGTTGGCATGTGAACACCTTGGTACAGAGCAGTGCAGGTGGATTTGGAGTTTTCCTCTAGACCTGGCTTTCTCAGCCTGAGCTGTAGTGTTCCTTTGTTGTGGGGAGTTACCCTGGGCATTTACAATATTCAGCAACATCCCTGTCTTCTACTGACTAGAGGTCAGTAGCACCCACTGCCTGAGTTGTGACATTCCAAACACAAATAGCAACACAAACTGTCGCATCAAGGAAAAACAAACACACATAACTTCTAGGCCTTGTGCAGTTTGGCTCCTGCCTCCCTCTGAAGCTTTCTATTGCATGACCAGTGCCGGCCACACCAGCTCCATGTGCTTCATGTTCCTTCCAGCTGCAGCGGTGTGTACTCTTCTGTGTCTAAAGTCCCTGCCTTTCTCCCAGGACTCTTCTTCAACCATGCAGGCTGACGCAAGTGACTGCTTTACATTACCCTGGTTCTTGTGACTTTGCATCATAGCACATGAGAAATTGTTAAATAAGAAGTGCTGTCGTAGGATTAACATTGGTCTCCGCCTCTAGACTGAATATCTTTGAAAGGTCGGTTCCTATAGTCTCAGTCCCCCATTGTCAACACTGGCTTTTCCTTCAGGCCTCATCAGTGTCCCATTTCATATCTCAGCATCTTTTTAAAAAATTTACTGATTGCTCTAGTGCCTAGGATAATACGTGCTCAGTAAGTGTCCCAGAATGAAGGTGCCAGCCAGTTCTGGCCAGATTGAAGCTGAATTTACTGCTTACAGGGCCAGGGATTTAGCTCAGTGGTTCTGCTGCCTGCCTTGCAAGCACAAGGACCTGAGTTCGATCCCCGTAACCAAAAAAAAAAAAAAAAAAAAGAATTTACTGCTTAGCACTAAATGGACTTGTTCCACCTGTTTGTAGTACTCTCTTTAAAAGAAAAGAAACGAAAAACTCAAATTATTTTAATCTGAGTGCAGATACAGAAAATCATGCAGAATACATGTGTAATTTCTGAATTAATCCAAGGAAATGATCTTGTAACAACCAACAAGCCAAAATTCCAACAAGGAATTTTGCATCCACCAAGAAGCTGTCTATGTGCCCACCCCAGTTACAACTCCCACCCCCCTTCCCCGGTGTGTAACCACCAACCTGAGCCTTAACACCGATCACTTCCTTGCCAGCTGGATCATAATCCCTAAAGTCTAAGGTCCCGAATGTTGAAATCCTGGAAGCTGAAATTCCTACTGGGGAAGAAAGCTAGATAAGAGGAATAGAAAGCCCAGTTCTTGGGAAGGGATTCATGCATTTTTGATGTGCACAGGGTAGTTGCACCATGTTCAGTGTGATAAAATCTAGAAAAACATCATCTGGGGTCTCTGTGAAGGTTTTCTGAAGAGACTAGTGTGTGTGTCTGAGTGGGCCTGGAGGGAGATCAGTATGTAGAACATTACTGCGAATGTGTTTATTCTCCAAGAAAAGCCATTCCCTAAAAGAAAAAAGTAGCTATTTATGACTTCAAACAATAGTTAGTGATTGTGAAAGTCAGGCAGCTCTTACGGGCCGTCTCCATGCAAATACCCATAATTTATCCCTGTAATGCACTTTTCTGAGAGGTGCTGGGGATAGAACCCAGGCCCTGTGTGTGCCAGGCTGGTGTGCTACCACTGTGTCCCCAGCTCTGTAATATTTTTTTATACGTTGTTTTCTTTTTTCATTTGTGTTTTACTTTTTAAAGTTTTTTCCCAACTATTTTATTTATTATTTGGTCCTGGGGATTTAACCCAGGGCCTTGAAGATACTAAGCATGCAACCTATTTCTGATCTACACCCCCAACCCCTCCAGTATTTTAAATTACCAGCATTATTATTATTATTTTTTTTTTTTGGTACCAGGGATCGAACTCAGGTCCTTGTGCTTGCGCAGCAGGCGGCGAAACCACTGAGCTAAATCCCCGGCCCGCCAACATTCTTTTTTATAACTAACTTTTTATGCTATTTTTTTCATCTTTGCACCATTTCCAGTACTGGAGACTTAGATTGTGTAAAGACGTTTAGAGAGTTCTAATTCATTTTCTGTACTTTATGCAAATTTGAAAGTACGTTAGCACACTTTTGTGTGTAAGCATTGTGCATGGAAGTAAAATTGTTGGAAACCTAACAAATGAAAAGATGTCATTTTTGTACATCTGCATTTGAAAAATACAGCTTCTCGTGATCTCAGCTCCTTGAGTGACTGTGTATACAATAGCAATACATCAGGGTTTTCAATCAATCAGATAAAAAGACTTAGATTATTGGGCAGGAAATGTAGCTCTGTACAGTTCTTCAGTAAACCACTTGTCTAACATGCACAAGGTCCTGCCTGAGCTTGAGCCCCAGCACCAGGAAAGAAAAGACCTAGACTGCCCATCACAGTGTTTGAAGTGCCTCAGTGAGAAAGCAGTGTGCACATTACCTGCTGTGTGTGTGTACATTTCACTTTTTGATGTATTTCTTTGTGAACGTGCTTTGTCTGCTTGTAACTGATGTGGACATGTGACTTGTTATCTAAATGTTTATGCTTGCAAAAAATGTTGTTATTTTCTTTTATTGTGTAATGTTCTGACATTTTTTAATGTTTTTATGTTTCTCAAACTCTTCTTTAAAAATGTAAATTAATGTATTTTAAGTAATTGAAAAAATTTTTCCCCAGAATTATATTTTCATGATTTTGATCATTTGAGATTTTAGACTTAGGAATTTTGATCTGTCAGATTTTATCATTCAGGATTATGGAGGTCAGGACCTTTTTTTAAAATATAGTTTCATCATCCTAATGTGCATCTTTAGACACATTTAATTTTACCAACTAAGAATTTTGATGTCTTTTAATGTACTTTATTTTTGTGGTTCAGGGAATTGAACCCAGAGATTTGTGAATGCTAAGCAAGTGCTCTACAATGGAGCTCCATCCCTAGCCCTAGTCTGCTTTAATCTGGATTTTCCCTCCATCCCTTTGTTTGCCATATAGTTTATCTATTGAAGAACCTGGGCGCTTCTACGTACATAATTTCCTACTGTGGAGTTTGTTGGTTGTGCATTTCTGGTAGAATACAGCATATTCCTCTTTTCTCTGCATTGCTTAAGATAGGCAGCTGGATGTAGACACTCAGTCACTCAGATTCAGTTCCTTGGGCAGCACTGTAGGAAGCATACAGCATCTGTCTCTCCATGTTAGCAGTCATTTATTCCTAGTGCCTGTGGCTGTTAATTCATGGGAGGGGGAGCTCTAAAATGGCAATATTCTAATTTTATCACTTTTCGTTTAATATTCAGAATACTTTTATAAGTGATTCTCCCCATCTTCTGTTATTGGTTACTATTTACATAGTTTACAAAGGAAAGTCAAGACTAATGCCTCTTTCTCTTTATTTACCAGTCTTCATTTATAACGAATTGTTTCTCTGTCATCCTCCGAAGTTGACTAATACTTTTTTTTGAAATATCATTGTGAATGTATGGATTTAAGTATAATTGATGTGGTTTAATCTTCTACAGATATTATCATAATGGTGGCCCTGTCTATTGGTACCCAGGCTGCATGTTCATCCTGGGGAGTGGGGAGGGGAGTAACAACAGGGAGACTGGGAAGCTGAGAGAGTCCTGGCTCTGGGTACCCAGGGGACACTGTCCATGAGCCCTCCCTCAGTGGGTCTGGGGAAAGCTCCTCTTGGTGGAGCCCTTCCTGCTGGCTTTCCCAGCTAGCTCTCTGTGACTCTCCTTTCCTTCCTAGGTTTGGTCGGAAGAATGTGCTGTTTGTGACCATGGGCATGCAGACTGGCTTCAGCTTACTGCAGGTCTTCTCAAAGAACTTTGAGATGTTCACGGTGCTCTTCGTCCTTGTTGGCATGGGCCAGATCTCCAACTACGTGGCAGCATTTGTCCTGGGTATGGCCCTCCAATTGGAGTTGAGTACTCGATCCTGTGTTTCGCCATCATCCTGCCACCCACCTTTCTGGAGACAGCTGTGATGCCCTTGGGTTTGGGGGTGGTTTCCAGCACCTCTGGCCAGAGCTTCCTGATGAACCCAATTTACCAGGAGGGAAACTGAGCCAGGCACATGACCAGCCTTGGGTCCCAGTGGCACTCTAGCCTGACCTCTGATTTCTGCTTTTCTGGCCTCTGAGGTGTGGTCTCTTGGACTTATTAGTACTTGAAGCTATTGTACTTCACCAGAGATCATCCGTTTAAAAAGTCCTACACCTGCTGAGGTAGCTGGCAAAAGAGGGAAGCAGGCTGTGAGGAGGAAAGGCTATGATAGACAGGCTCACCAGGGAGAAGTGCAGGGCGTGGTGGCCAGTGATGTCTATGAAGGAGAATGGTTGGACAGGAATGGGCTTTACACAGCTTCAGATTCAATTCCAGGTACACACAGCAGGGCTCTAGCTCAGACATGCCAGCCGTTCTTACTGAGAAGATATGTCTCACTGTTTGGAGGAGTCTGACTCTAGCTAGTAAAGTCTCTGGGTTCCTTGGGTTGTATCATTGAAGGGGTTATTTTTTCTTCTCCCATTTAATAGAATATCTTTTTTCCTCTGAGAATAATAGCCTCAGTAATGACTTCACCCCTAATGAATTCTCCCTTGTGTGAGGATGCAAGGGGGCCTAACGTGGCATTATTAGCATATGGCTGAGGAAAGTGATGAACTGTTGCTGAGGGGTTGAGAGGCCTCAGTGAAGCACCCCCAAGGAGATGGTTGGATTAGACTGTGTTCAGATCCAACTGCTCCCCTGGACTTGGAGCATAGAGATGATTCTGGCTGCCTTCTTGTCTGTGTGTTGAAAATGATATCGTGCAAGATTAATAAGGAAATGGCCCAAATTAAATGCTAACTCAACTCCTCCCTTGTTTTGAACAGGAACAGAAATCCTTGGCAAGTCAATTCGTATTATATTTGCCACGCTAGGAGTGTGCATATTTTTTGCATTTGGCTTCATGCTCCTGCCACTGTTGGCTTACTTCATCAGAGATTGGCGGATGCTGCTGCTGTCACTGACGTTGCCTGGGGTGTTGTGTGCGGCACTCTGGTGGTAAGTGTGCCCAGGGCTGCCTTCCAGCAAGGTGGCTTCTGCCTGGCTTCACTAGAGGGCAGCAGCAGTCCTCAAATCCCTGCTAGGGCTCCCAGAGATAGGAAGTGTAAATGAATGTAAGTTGTTTCAGAATGTCTCTCCATGCTCAGAAGAGCCAAACAAAACAGAGTCACAAGACATCCACAGATTTGTTCTCAGCCCTGTGCCGGGTAGATCTAAGTGCAGAGAGAGGAAGAAGTGGCTGTGAGAAGGTGGGGTCCAATGTGACCTCCAGATCTCAGGGCAAGACAGTGAAGCTCTGGTTCTGCGTATTGATGAGGCTTCATGCCACGGCCATGAGGAGAAGAGGACGATCTCCAGAAGAGAGCTCTCAGGATGACTGCAGGTCTGTTGGATAAATCAGGGGAGGCAGAGTGAGGAAAAAACAGAAGAGGCCAGTACAGCAGTTTCTGTGGATGCCAGAACAGGGCAAGGGTGTAGCAGGTTGTGGGTGGGCAGAGCCATCCAGGGAAGGCAGGCTTCAGGAGCCCAGCAAGGGGGACCATCGTTCAAGATACCAAGGTAGCCACCGGATGTGGGGATCCCCTGAGACAGTCTGGGCCCCCAAGTTCTGTATACTTCAGATGCTCCAGAATCATACCTGGGTACGGACCGACTTGGCTTCTGGCCTGTGAACAGGTATCCCACAGCCTAGCTCTGCATCTCCAGGCTCACTTCCCACTCTCACGTGTGCTCTCCCTCATCTTTTGGGCAGAGGCCTCACTAAGATTGTACTTGTAGATGGCTCAGGGGCTCAGAATCATGGAAAATGTAGCAAAAGACTAATAGAGGCAAAGTCAGTTAGCACATGGTGCAAGTAAAAACAAATGGAGGCCTTGGGAGAAAACTTCCATAAAGATCATTCTTCTTGTCTCTTGTGGGATCATCCAACTTGACTCTGGCAAGCTACAGTGCATACAAAGACTGAGAGACTGGAATGCTTCAAGCCATGATTCCCATTACCAAGCCTAGGTCAAGAAAACATGTCTAGGCCTGTTTGGGTTTGCCTTGGAGAGCCAGGTGGCTGTCTCTTCTGTGTAGAGAGGAATTGTCCTTCCTGACCAGATGTACTGTCAAGTTTTGGTTCTAGCACAAGCAGCGCCTTTTCTAGTTGACATTAACTTGAAGCCATTTGAAGTTTATAGTTTTCTGAGCCAAACAGTTCAGAGCTGAGCCTAGAGAGTAATTAAAGCATGAATTTCTGACCATCGTAAAAAAAAAGATTGTACTTGTACTTCTAGGTTCATCCCAGAGTCCCCGCGATGGCTCATCTCGCAGGGGCGATTCGAGGAGGCAGAAGTGATCATCCGCAAGGCTGCCAAAATCAATGGGATTGTGGCACCCTCCACCATCTTCGACCCGAGTGAGGTAGGCACCACGTGGGAACTGGTTGAGGAAGGGGCCACCAGCCATGATTTGAGGGCAGCCGCACATAGTCCTCAAGTCTTCCCTACCACACAAGTCCAGCCCTTGCCCTACCTGAGCTCCAGCTCTCCCCAGGCAGCACTTATTAAAAGTTGGCTGGCTGTGGGGATGCCTACCTATAATCCTAGCCCTGGGGAGGCTAAGGTAGGAGGATTGTAGTTGATTGTATCTTGAGTTGGCAAGACCTTGTCTCAAAAATCAAAAAAGAGTTAGGGATACAGTTTAGTGGTGGAGCACCCCTGGGTTCAATCCCCAGTTATATGCATGTGCAGGCGGACACGCAGATGCATACACACACAGCAACTCAGACCTTGAGTAGCTCCCACCTGCCTCTCTGCACCTTTCCCATAGATTTTAGACAGCCATACTTTACTTCCTTTCTAGGCAATCATCTTTTAATCATCACTTTTAATAATGAACACCCTTTCTAAGAAATGAGCTTTCTCCAACATCAGCATTTTGGGGGGGGGTTGGTTTTTTTGGGTACTGGGGATCGAACTCAGGACCTTGTGCTTTCGAGGGAGGTGGCGGCATCACTGAGCCAAATCCCCGGCCCAGCATTCTTGTTTCTTGTGCTTAAGGTGATTTGTCATTTAAAAAGATAATCTAGTGCCTAACGTATAAAGCCCAAGCAAGTATTCAGTCTCTTTTCACCCTCCAGTGGTTGGTTGTTGCATGTCATGTTGGAGCCGGGTCCTTTCTGAGGTCCACTTCTTCCTTCTTTTTTTGTCCATTTCTTCTTTCTGCGCAACCCCTCCCTGCAAGCCCTGTTCTTAGACACCATGAGTAATTTCTTGGCTCTGTCTAGTTGCTAGTTCTTGCTTCTCCCTCCTGTTCCCTCTCCTTCTGCCCTCTCTGCAACAGGCAGCTTTTCTCAGACTCAGTACTATAAGAAGAGGTTAGAAGCTACAAATGCTTAGGGCCGAGGATTTAGCTCAGTGGCACTGCACCTGCTGGGCAAGCGCAAGGTCCTCAGTTCAATCCCCAGTACTGGAAAAAAAAAAGAAGCTATAAATGCTGGCTGATATGGTTCTGGAATGTGTCTCTAGTCTGACGGGAAGACAAGGGACTGGCTGTTGGAACAGCCGTGAGGAGTCATGCTGAAGTGTGACAAGCATGTTAGAGGACACACAGGGCCAGAGATGCAGACTTGAGACTTTGGATGGAGAAAGCAGCCAAGAGGCCAGTGGCTACTGAAAGTCCTGCTGCCCTCCCACTTAAGTGGTGGCTACTCAATGGCTGTCACTCAGACCTTACTGGAAAGGGCTCTGAAGCACATAGGTCAGGGTAGGGTGTGGCAGAGAGGGCTTTTAAATGAGGTGGCTTCAGTGGCTCATAAGTAAGGGGTCAATCTGGGTGAACCCATAAACCCCATTGGCGTCTTTGAGGAAATGAGGGTATTTCAGGGGATCCGTTCAGTCTGCTGAAGTTGACCTTTTGTTGAACTGCTAACTTGGGAAAAACAAGCTCCAAAGCTGGGTTTGCTTAAGAAAGCTCCATCAGTATGTTTAGACATGCAGTTTATTAATGGCCTTGGCTGTGCTGAATTTCATAGGAAGTTACTCTGGGTGAAGCTCAGGTCAATTTTCCTGTTTTTCAATCTTAATTTTTTCCCCCTGGAAGTAAACCAATAACTACTTAGCATGAGGACTGAAAACATTAATTTTTTGTAAACGTCAGATCAGTAAACTGCACAGCCTGTTTCTCTCTCTGACCCACAGGGAAGGGAGCCAGCCTTGGAAGGAAGGCCTAGAGGTCTCTCTGGAATGTGGCTGCTGATAGGTGGGCCAGGCAGTCGCAGCGAGGGGGCTGTCAGCCTGGCCTCTGCCTCTGGCTCTGCTGTGCTCTCTGAAAGACTTGTCACCTCCCTGTTCCCTTCATTCCCATTCACTCTAACACGTTATCGACAGGCCCGGGGAAGCTCTTAGAAGACCAAAACCAAGTCACTAAACTTACTGTTCTTTTCTGAAAGAGCCTGAAGCACTCCCTAACTCTGGAGAAGACAGCTCAGAGGGCAGGTTTGGGGTATGCTGTCCTGTGCTCTGCATCTCTAGGCTTCTCTCACCCATACCATTCTGCCTCTGCAGTTACAAGATCTGAGTTCCACGAAGCAGCAGTCCCACCACATTCTGGATCTGCTCCGAACCCGGAACATCCGAATCGTCACTATCATGTCCATAATTCTGTGGTATGTAAGAACCACCCAGGGCTTCCAGACAAGCTTCTAGGAATGGCAGCTGGGCCTCTTGTTTACAGACATGACTCAGACCCAGATTGCAAGATAGCCCATGTCTCCACAAGCAAGAGGGATGCGTCTTGCAATGGATGTATAAATGGGCCTGTCACAGTTCTTAATGTGACGGAACCTCCACAAAAAGAATAAAACAATTGCAGAGGCTGTTTTGGGAATCAGGGATCTTTGGGGATGTCATCAGGTCTTTGGGTCCTTGCTCAGTTGTTCCTGTCCCTAACCCCCTTGTATCTAGGCACAGACAGTGACTAAAGAGGACAGGGGAAGCTTTAAGAAGGATCTGAGTGAAGATACCTTATCCTTTAAGCCATAGAAGCTGCTGAGAACTTTATGGACATGTTCCTTCTGGGATGTTCAGAGACCGTCCTGGAGTCAGGGCTAAGGCCTAGATGTCTTCTCCAGATTCCTTCTAACAAGGTATTTCACAAAATACCAGGAAGGAATTTGTGAATTACTGAGGAGAAGAAAACATGTCTTTATGCCAGGGTATCTTTGCTTAGTGAGCAGAGCACTGGGATTATAGACTTCCTGAACCTGCTGAGTGAATGATGAGGAGGTGAGTGAGGACAGGCTTTATTTCAGAGTCCTTACTACTAGATTCAGCTGGCTTTGGGGCAGCTATCATTTTGCTCACTGGTAGGTATTGTGAGTCACTTATTTCCAATGAATTTCCAAGTCACTCATTTCCAGGGTGCCTCAGGGCAGTTCACCACTCTTTGAATCTGCCACAAGACAGGACCAGCATGTAGCCTGTGCCTCAGACTTGCCATTCTTTGATGAGTCATCCTCTCTATGGTTCACCTGGGGTTTCTTCCCCACTCTGGAATTCCTTCCAGAACACAATCTATTCTCCTTCCTTGTATCAGCTGTGTTTCCAACTTGCACATATGTCAAAAACAGTCTAATCCATAAAGGTCTGGTCTGCCAAAGAGTATGAGTCACCAACAGAATGCTGCTGGGGACAGGACCCAAGCACGCTGAGGGCATATAGACGAGCTAACATGGCCCCACCGCTGGGAGCTCCCTCTCATCTCCATGGGTATAGTGGGGCTGGTGTCAGCTGCCTCTGACCATGCTCTTCCTGGCTGGTCACACAGACAGTCTGCTGGGCTCTTTCTCCAAATGTTTGATGTAATGTTGTGCCTTATTTTGTGTTTGCTGCCTGATGCATTCTCAGTCTCCTGCAGTTGCGGGATTTTAGGGAAGTAGACTTTGTGAATGCTGCATCTTAGGATTTTTAAGGCTGAAAGGCAGACCGGAATTTTTTTAGTGAGGTAACTCTGTCTGAATTTATAAGCCTTTTTGCTGGGATACTTTGTATATACGATGCTCTGAAAGTACACTGGAGAAGAATTTGCATATACCATCTGGGCTGGGGGAAGTTATCTTTTGTTCAATGAAGTAAGGCTCAGGGTTAAATATGCTGCTTTCCTATGTTCTGCTTGTTGGGAGCAATGCTACATAATTCTAGGGAAAAATCATATGAGTAGGCCTAGTTCTCCTGCCTACAGACCAGCCACGACATTCCAGACATAATTGCATTTTGGCCTCGGGTCACAACTGAGACCTCAGTGATCCCCGGATGCTGTAATCTCCGGGACAAGACCACACCTGTGGGAGATGCCAGGGAGGAACCAAATCTTCATCTGCATAGTTCCTCATGGTCCTTAGATTTCCACTGCCCCCCCCCAGTCTTTTTACACCTTGTTTATCCCAATGTGAAGTACTGAACTCCGCATTTTCACTTGTTACCTCTGTTTCCCCATGTACTGAATAAAAAGTGCTGCAAGCTAGGGGGTTTTTGTCTTTGCCACCCAGAGCAGCACTGATCAGACCCAAAGCTCAGCTTCTTCTCAGTCTCATTTGTCTACCTTTCCTGTAATTCGCCGTGTGCTGCCGTGGCTCGCAGGAGACCAGGACTAACTGCAGAGGTTCTGGTAACATCCCCTTCCCCTGTTCCCTACACTGCTGAGGGAGTAGCTTGAAATTTCCCCCAAATAATTGGATTTTCCAAGTTGAGCTGGTTGGAGCTATGGATACTGCTTCTCTAGCTTTCTTCTGCACTTCATTTCAGGATGACCATATCAGTGGGCTACTTTGGACTTTCCCTTGATACTCCTAACCTGCATGGAGACATCTATGTGAACTGCTTTCTTTCTGCGGTGGTCGAAGTTCCAGCATATGTGTTGGCCTGGCTCCTGCTGCAGTATGTGCCCCGGCGCTATTCCTTGGCCACTGCTCTCTTCCTGGGCGGCAGTGTCCTTCTCTTCGTGCAGCTGGTGCCCCCAGGTAAGGACCGTGTGCATCCACAGTCCAGGATCTCCACTGAGTCACTGACTCTGTACCGAGGCTGTCTTCTCAGTTACTAAAGAGAATAAATCAAGCCCGTCAGAGTTCTCCCTCATGTATGCATTCTTAGCCTAAAATTTCAAGAGAAAGTGCTTTACGAGGTCAGAGCATTCTTTATGTCTTCATTGAAGGAGTGAGAAGGAACAACCACTGGGGTTGTTGGTTAATTTTACTCTAGATTTCAGTTAATATGCTCATATTTGTTTTCCCTTCCAGAATAAGAGGGCAGTAGAGGGCCGGGGATTTAGCTCAGTGGTTTCACCTCCTACTGCGCCCGCGCAAGGACCCGAGTTCGATCCCCGGTACCAAAAACAAAGAAAAAAAAAAAAAGTTAGTTCAGAGGGCAATGGAGAGCCATCACCATTACTTTTTTCCTGGCGCTCTTTTGTGGTTCATTCAGCCAGCAGCTGTGGAGTGCCTGCTGGGGCTGCACTGGGCTGGGTGCCAATGACACAGAAGTAAACCCGTCAGGCAGAACCCCCAGGCCATCATGGAGCTAACATTCTAGTTGAAAAGACAGACAACAAACAAGCAAATAAATAAAATGCTCACCATTGTTCAGATTGTGTTACCTTTTTATCTAGGAGAGTGGGGAGCTAGTGTCCCTGAACAGGGGGAAGTTCAACGGAAGAGAACATGAAGTGACACAGAAAGCCATGACATCTGGAGAGCATTTCAGGAAGAAGAGAAGAAAGCCAGAGAGGCCTGACAGCGAGTGAGCCTGGCATGTTGAGAAAAAAAAAAGAGAGCTAGTAAGAGCTGCAGAAGGAGAGAGGGGGACAAAAAGGAGAGAGGAAGGGAGGTTCCCAGAGACCATGGACAGGGTTTTGTTTCTTTTCGGTGTCCCACAGGTTGGTGAGAGGAACTCTTTCTGACAACTGCTAAACACTTGATAGGTCCTCATCTGTCCAGCACTGTGCCCAGAGTCTATAGTACTCCCTGGAATTTGGGGGCCTGTGGTAGTCACTGGGGCCTCTTAGACTGGGATCCCTCTGTAGACCATGTGAGACATGGCAGAAGGAGCCCGGGAATGGATGTAGAGGATTCACAGTTGAGCTCAGCAACACTCAGGTCATTCAGTGTCTCCTCATCGGACAGCAAGAAGGATAGATGGTTTTGTGTGGTCTGTGGATTTTCTGAGGCTTGAATAAAATGAAAGCGTGAGTTAGAATTGAATTCTCCATTCATCCAAAAGTCATTAGTGCCAACACTTGGGAGGCTGAGGGAGGAGGATTGTCACAAGTTCGAGGCCAGCCTGAGCTACGTAGTGAGCTCAAGGAAAGCCTGAACTACATAGCAAGACCCTGTCTCAAAAAAACCAAGTCATTAGTAAATTCTGCCAATCCCTACAGTATGAGGTTCTGCAGTATGAGCTAACTCCCTGACAGACACCTCTGTAATGACTTTTGCACTAAAAGGCAGGCCGATTGGGATGTAGGGAACTTCCTCTGATGGCCTTTAGATCGAGGAAAATGCTTGTTCTCACATAGCTGCAGAGTCCCAGTCTCTTTTAAGTAATCAACTTGGAAATCTTGGCTATAGTCCTTTATCTCAGGAAGTTACAGAAAAATGACCTCAAAACACCCCTTCCCAAACAGCTGGGTAGGAAAATATGTTTGTTTCAGGCAAAACAGAACTAGAACTCTTAATAGCAGCACACTGAGCTGCTGCCTACTCCTACTTTCTTTCCTTTCCCTTTCCAGACTTATATTACTTGTCTACAGTCCTGGTGATGGTGGGCAAGTTTGGAATCACTGCTGCCTTCTCCATGGTCTATGTGTACACAGCTGAGCTGTATCCCACAGTGGTCCGAAACATGGGTGTGGGGGTCAGCTCCACAGCATCCCGCCTTGGCAGCATCCTGTCTCCCTACTTCGTTTACCTTGGTAAGTCCCATGGGCCAAGGGAACACTGGAGCAATGGCACACAAGCACTCACTGGCCTTCATGTGACCCAGAAATAGCTTGTTACTAGGAAAACAAGCATATATGGCAAATGGGATCCATCTAGGAATGGGTCTGTTGCTGGGGAAGATTCTTATCCAGGTGCATTGTGAGGGTGCCATTAACTTGTGCCGCATGTGCGTGCGCGTGTTTGTGTGTCTGTGTGTGTGTGTGTGTGATATGTGACTGAAGATCAAACCCAGAGCCTCTTGCATGCTAGGCAAGTGCTCCTCCACTGAGCTACACACCCAGCCCCAAGGCACTCTTCCAAATGGAAACCAACCTGCAAACTAGCCAGAAATTAATAAGAAAATAGGTTTTGTTTCTCTTCCTGGTAACTCAGGCCTTCATCAGAAATTGCAATTTCTTTAGCCTGAGAAATTAGAGAGTGATTTCAGGAATTAGTTTACTTAATGGAGAAATTTCTTCTCAGAGTCAACACAAGGGGAAATATGTATTCAAGACTTGTAATGAACTGAGAATCACTGTACCTTGGAGCAGCTTATACAGTGGTTTTATCTGTGTGAAATCCTCCCTGAGGGCTGAGGTTATAGCTCAGTGGTAGTGAACACAAGGCCCTGTGTTCAGACCCTAACAGTGTAAAAAAACCCCCAACATTCTATCCTTGCTGTTTTTCATAGTGGGACCCCAGTATTCTCTTCCTTAGGTATTGCCTCATGGCATCTGCTGCTTCCCTGCACATCCCTAGCCATAACATCTTTGGGGAGCACTGGAATGTACCCACAGTGCTCTGTGAGCAGGCCACATAGATCTAACAAGCCAAAACACCTTCTCGTCTAGCTTGAAGGCAAAGCGAACAGGTGGTGACACATCTGCAGAGGTGGAAGAGTTATTCCTGTCCCTAGATAAGTGCCTCATGTTCCTGGGAAACCTGATAGGACTGATCATCACAGCTTGGCTCTCCGGTGCCGTGAGAGTCTCCCGCTCATCCTGTGCACCTTAGGCGCCCAGTTGGATCTCTGGGCATGCCTGTGCCAGCATGGCTCTGAGTCGTGCTAGGATCCAGTCTGGCAGCTCAGACTAGGGGAAGTTCTGAGGTCCGTAAGGAAGGTGATCCTTTTTATAGTGCTGGGAGCATAAAGGGATGGAGAGAGACCAAGTCTCAGTTCATCCTGAGGCTTCAGATTCTGTCTGCTTTGCCACAGGTGCCTATGACCGCTTCCTGCCCTACATTCTCATGGGAAGTCTGACCATCCTGACAGCCATCCTCACCTTGTTCTTGCCAGAGAGCTTCGGTGCCCCTCTCCCAGACACCATTGACCAGATGCTAAGGGTCAAAGGGTAAGGAGGCTTCTTCACAGTCTGAGTGCACTGGGTCTGGGCCTGGCCACGTCTTAGGAGAGCCCTGAAGACTTTCTCTCAAATACCTTGGACTAGTTTAGCCATCAGAGGGCTATAAATAGCAATGGTCTGATCTTGTGTGGACGTGTCTCTTCGAACATCTCCATGGAAACTGCAGCTCTGGGATAGTACAGAAACCAGGAGAAACCTTTTTTTCAGAAGATATTCTCGTTTCTGGCTAATTTGTTTTGAGACTATTTTGAGGCTGCTTTGTTTTAGAACGTTACTAACATTTGTTTTGCTTATTTTAATAGACTAAAACATAGGCAAACCCCAGGCCTCACAAGGATGTTAAAAGATGGTGAAGAAAGCCCCACAATCCTTAAAAGCACAACTTTTTAACACAACTTCCAGTAAGCGAGAAACGGAAGAGGAAAGCCTGCATCTTGTCAGAAACGTCTTGTGCAGACCCTGGGTCCTTCAGTGACAAAGGGCTTTGCAGTCTTTTCTGTGACTCTTTGTCTGACTTCCTCATGGAAGAGAACTCAGCTTCAGAGAGTGTTTGTGGTCCTGGGGCTCCAGCTTTCCTCCAGGGACAGTATGGCTACCTACAGACAACTTAGATGTTTCCTAACTGTTAGCAGTGGATGTGGCACCTCCAAAAAAGTTAATGACTCACTAGAACCAGTGGGATTCGGAAGGATGTGAGAGACATCTGCTAGATACACTTTTTAATCTTAGACTACCTGAAAAGGCCCCTGGTAAAATTGGAGATCTTTAGTTTCCTCTTTTCTTTTCCTAAGTGGTGAATTTTAAAGGAAAAGAAATAATTTCACAGAGAATTTGATTTCTCACCTTTTCTCAGTTACAAAGGACATTAACTGAGATCATTGTATACCTACTGCAGAAGAGCACAGCATCTAGAGAAACCTAAAGATAGCTGAGAAGGAGAGGACTGAGCAGTTGCAGAACATGGGCAGGTGCAATGATTTGTGACCACTCGGTGTGGCTGCTGGGTGGACTTGTTTACATCTGACCAAAGCACTGGGCTTCTCCATGGGAAATGCATTAAGTCTACCCTTCTTGTTTTCCACCACTGTGTAAATCAAACCTCCTCGATACTAAGCTTCTGAGCTGTGGTTGGAAGGAAGTGTATTAGTGAGAAATTGTCTCTTTTCTCAGAACTGTAATGAGGATTCTGTTTTGTTGTTTTGTTTGTTTATCGTTATATCTCCTCCTTAAGTTATTTGCCCTTCAGCAGAGGCTTGAGAAAGGCTGGTTCCTGGTTTGTTTCTCTTTTGTTTTCGGCCCGGAATTGCTCTGGCAATGGTATACAGTTGCTGCTGCACAGGCCTTACCAGCCTTAGCCACTAGCACTTCTCTGAGTGCCAAAAACAATCTCATTGTGTGTATTCTTTTTGTGTTACCTAATCATGAGGAAAATTGTAAAAAAGAAATGTAAATCACATTCACGGTCTTTGAGAGTTGCTCACTCCAGTCAGGTAATATTGGGAGAAACTTGTGTTCAATGTAATTGTTGTCTTCTCTCTGATTATGTTACCATGGTACTCCTAAAGCATATGGTTTATTTGGTTTTTTAAAAATGTATTTTTGTGAAAGCTACTGAAGTGCCTTGGGAAGTGAGACAGTTTTAATAAATGAAATGATTTTTTAAATAATAGCAACCGTCTATAATCATTATTTTCAGAATTTGGTGAGCCTTTGCCACCCATCGCCTGACTCTGTCACTTTGGGCTAACTGTAGCAGTGGATTAGACTATAAGGTGAATATTAATCCCTGTGTACTGGAAATCTTCACTCTGTTAACTGACTTTGAACTGCACCAGCCTTCTTCCACAAGTGTCAGCTTGGTTCCCCTGTGATTAGCACTTCTGTGCAGTTAATTAGTCTTCATGAGAACAAGATTCCAGAGAACAGGAGTAAAGGATGGGGAGAGGAACATGGAAGGGTGACTAGATACCAGATATGTCACCAAGCTGACCAGTGTCAAAGACAGGTGCTGCAGCCATCAAAAGCTCTGGTGAGGCTGGGGATTTAGCTCAGTGGTTTCGTCGCCTGCTGCGCAAACGCAAGGACCTGAGTTCGATCCCCATTACCAAAAAAGAAAAAAAAAAAAAAGCTCTGGCCAGGGACGTAGCTCAGTGGCACCAAGCCTGCCTGGCAAGTGCAAGGTCCTGAGTTGGACTCCTGGTACCAAAACACTGTTGAAACCCATGTACTGCACCTCCAAACTATCTGTGCCATGGATTAAAGAGGAAAGCATTAATCTGTTGGCACCTGTGCCTCAGAGGCAGCCCCGCAGGTGCCAGTGGCCCACATTTCCAGGTGGCACAGGCATAAATCCCAACCCGGTTGGGTAGAAAGCAAAAGGTAGCACATTGCTGGCCCAGGGTGACAGGCAGCACCTCAGTGAAGCTGGCTGGGCCTGTGGACCTGGGGTAAATGGTGGGACAGAGAGAACTGGGGTTGAGGGGAGAGTACAAGAGGTGTCTGAAACCTACATACAGTTTGCCACCGAGTGACTTGGGCTAGAGTGTGGATGGGCCTGTGTAATAGCATCGGGTGTATTTAAGCAGAAATCACATGTCTTCCTAGAGTCCTGAGACACACCCCTGAAGATGTCATCTCAAGAAGATGGATCTAAGCTCAGAGACAAAGTTCTACAAGAACTCACCAGAGACATGTGGACATCATTTCTGTTTTGGGCCAGCTAGAGGGCAGCAGCCAGGTACCTGACTGGTTCTGTAACCCCGGGAGTCCCCCATGAAACTCTTCTTACAGCTGTGTACAGGAGGTGTGGGGATATGCTCTGCACATGAAGGACAGACTGCTAAAAGGATGCAGCATTATCACTCTCTCACAGGGCCAGTCTGCTGAAGAGATCTGAAAAATTTACTGTTCATGCAGAACAAAATAGTTCTGAAAATTCCAAACACCCTCATACAGTTGTCCTCCCCATAGCAAAAGACTAGCATAAAAAAAAGTAAATAATTACAAATATTTTCCACTAAAACTAACCAAATAATAAGTGAGCTGGGTAGTACTTGCCTGTAACCCTAGCACTTGGGAGGCTGAGGCAGGAGAATTGCCACAAGTTTGAGGCCAGCCTGGGCTACATGGTGAGTTCAAGGCCAGCCTGAACTACATAGCAAGACCCTGTCTCCAAAAAAAAAAAAAAATCAGCATAACAGTGTACTTCAGAAATTGAAGGGAAGAAGTATAAGATTCTAAACTTGTACCCAATCTCTTGAGCCACTGACATTTGCTACTGACTCCCTAAAACTACCAAATTGGGCCAACAGGAGACTGATTAAAAGCCTCTATTTTCTCTTAAAGATTTTTGGAAACCAAAAATGAATGAAATGGAGAAAATAGGCAATGGGGATGATTTTGAAAGAACTGAGTGCACTTAAAGGAAATACTAACTGGATTCCTTTAGGCTGAAATGAAAGGGCAGAAGACAGTAACTTGAACCTAAGTGAAGAAGTAACGGGAAAAGATGGCTGCCTCACTAAATATAAAAAACAATATTCATTTATTTTTCTTTACTTCTGTTTTTTCCTGTATGATTTAAAAGATAACTGCATAGGGCCTGGGATTTAGCTCAGTGGTTCTGCTGCCTGCTTAGCAAGCACAAGGTCCCAAGTTCGATCCCCAGTACCAAAAAAAAAAAGATAACTGCACAAAGCAGTAATAAGTTTATGCTGCTGGGTTCACAATGTGTGAAGATGTAACCTGTGACAATAACAATCAAGGGCAGAGCTAAATAAGAGCAAAGTTTTTGTATATTATTGAAGATAACGGTATTAATTTAGACTATTATTTAATATATTGATACAGAAAAGTTTTAGATAACTTAATAGATTGAATATTAAGGTAGTTGTAGAAGCAAAATAAGTAATGTGTTCTTTTAAGATTTGCTTTTCCTGTAAATCCTTGTTTAAGGTGACGATTATCTGACTCTAACCTGTAACTTCATTAACCTAAGAAAGTTACCATGCTAGGGTGAATTTCCAATGTATGTGGCCTATCTTGCATCCGTGACTTGTAAATAGGAACTAGAATTGTATTTACACATCAAAGACCACTAGGGATGAGATAATGGCTAAAAAGGATATAAAAAGGGAAACGCTGAACAAAGGGGGTCGGATACTGGCCAGACTGGTTTCTGGCGTTCCACCCGCCCGCTCGCGAAGCGAGAAGAAATTTTATTATTTTATCCGAATTCTGTGTCTCTGTGTATTTCTTTCTGAGATTTCTGTAACATTTGGTGCGTTGGCCAGGAGTTGGGAATGAAATAGCCCTTTTGGGCATCGGCCGAACCCCACTGGAGGGAGCGGCTCTCTGTCTCCTCGAGAGGAAAGGCGCGCCCCTGGGACGAAGTTCCTAGGCTCGCCAACAGGACACAGAGATCTGCTCACTGGGCGGCAGGGCGGCAGAGCGGCAGAGGTTTGCCCGAACCCGAAGAGACTACAGAAGGAGGACTGCTGTTCTTGGTGTCTCATCTGTTTCTTTCCTTTGCTGGGTGACAAACCCCGGGAAACCCCCTAGTCGTTAAACTTTCGGTTTCGCCTTGCGGAATTTGTATTTTGCAACTTTGGGCAAATACAGCGCAGGGGCTTGATCACTCCTTGTGCTTTGCCATTTGGGAAGATAGCTCCTCCCATTTGTTGGGTTCACTTTGTGAACTTTGGGCAAACTTAGCACAAGGGCCGGATCACCCCTTGTGCTTTGCCATTTGGGGAGGTAGCTTCTTTCATTTCTTTTGGGTACGGTTAGGGGGTCACCGGGAGGGAATGTGATAACTTCTGAATAAATGTGTGAGTGAAAGAGTTCTGGATAGGAGAGTGTGTGGAAGGAGCTGCGGAACAAGATAGAGGGAGGAACCGCTTGTGCTTAAAGAGTCCTCCCCAAATCGCAGAATTTGTGTGTGATCACGTTTAACAAAGGCACAATGGTGAGCTTAGGCGACAGCCCACCTTAGCCTGAAGGGACCTTACCATGGCCCAGAAGCCCGCAGCCAGGCAGGCGAGCGAGTGATCCCCCACCTTTGTTTGCCTTGCGTCTCCGTAAAGGGTACCCATATACGCACCAACACTCTGATTGGCTGATCGTGGGGACAGAGCCATCTCATCCTACTGTCTTAGAATGCATGCTTAGGAATTTTAAGAAAGGTTTTACTGGAAATTATGGTATTAAGATGAAACCCCAAAACTTAGAGCCTTTTGTGAGTTAAAATGGCCCAAGCTTTGCCTAGCTTGGCCAACTGAGAGATCCCTAGGTGAGGGTCTCGTCTGGTCTGTCTGGCTAACAGTCACCGCCCCTGGACGGGAACATCCAGATCAATTTCCCTATATCGATTTATGGCTCAAATTGTGCCACAGAATGCCTCCTTGGCTTCAGATGTGCGCCCCAGAAGCGAAAAGCAACATCCTGGTCCTCCGTCAGAAAGGGGACAATGCTGAAAAGTAACTGGTCCTTTCAGGTCCGGACCGAGAGAATTTAGACTTTCCCCCTCTTTTTGAGTTCCTAAATTCACAGGTTTGGAGGAGATGGGGACAAAAGCATGAAAACTGCTTGGCTTCAGAGCACCGTGCTGTGGTCAGACTCAGGATGGAACAGGGCTTACACTCAAATTTTAAAAATTAGTAAGAAAAAATAAGTAATGGATTAAAAACAGCTAAAACAGCTCTGAAGGACATAAAGCCAGAGAAAGTAAGAAATTCTACAAGGGTTACAAATTTTAGCTAATTGATAAACGTCTCTGTGTTTCAGTTTGAAAAGTTACAAATTTTAGTTAATTGATAAATGTATCTATTTCAGTTTGAGTTGATGTTTAATTGGTGTGCTTAAAGTATTGTACGTTGCAAATTCTTCAATTGTAATTATAAGGTTAACTTGCTCTTTTCTCTACTTTGTTGATTAAAAAAAAAACCCTCAAGGTTACTACCATTCTATTGGCAGCCAACCAAATTTAAAGTGTAACAATCTGAGAAGAAAAAAGGGACACTTTAAAATTTTAACAGCTAATAACTAGTTTGTGATAAAAGGTCTATAGTGAGATAAAAAATATATATTTAAAAGCTATAAGTAAAAGAGATACAATTTTGACATAAAAAAATTTTGTATGTTTGTCTTGTTAAAAAGATATACAAGACCAGAAGGCCTAGGTATGTCAAAAGATGCGTGAAAGTGATTTATCAAAAAAAGTGTATGTTTGTTGGTTTCAACTTTGTTATAAAAGGTTTAAATATGTTTACCTTAGTTGTCATCAAAGGGTTAAATTCTAAATATGTTACTATAATATGTGTACGTTGGTCATCTTCAAAGGCTTTAAGAGCCAACAGGTTACAGTATGACCTGCTTTATAGTGAGTTAGAAAAAACTGTTGGAAAAAGGCACAAATATGTCAGACCAAGGTGCGATATTTGAGATTTGACTTTAAAAAGGATAAAAAAAGAGGCTTGGTCCAGAGAAAAAAGTCATTTATTCTCTGCCAAGACCCCTCCAAAATGCTTCAATTATTTGATTCCATCTTTGCTCTCCATTGTCCTAATTGGAAGGACTGTGAAAAACTTTGTAGAACTTCGTTAACCTCTTAAAAATACAGAGAGTTTTAGGAAAAATTAAAGAGTTAATGCCACTAGAATACCGGGTGCTATGCAGAATCCAGATGCTTGATATGAACAACAATTTCCAGTAAATGGGCAGCCCAATTGGGATCCCAGTACCCAAGCAGGACAGGAAAACTTGAGAAATTATCAGACAGCCCTTTTAGCAGGAATGCGGGCTGCAAATAAAAGGCCTACCAATATGATTAAAGTGCTAGAAACACAGCAGGAGCCCAATGAGAGCCCTGAGAGATTTTATGAGTAGCTCTGTAAAGTTTACAGAATGTATACACCTTTTGATCCTACTGTTCCTGAAAACCATCAGCTAATTAATACAACTTTTGTAACCCAGTCAGCGCCAGACATTAGAAGGAAAATCCAAAGGCAGGAGACTTGGGAAGGCATGAATATAATGCAATTGTTGCAATTAGCTGAGAGAGTGTATGAGAATAGAGAGACAGTGAAAGAGAAAGAGAGCCAGGAAGGAAGCTAACAGTAGCTATGGGAGCCAGGGAAGGGAAGGAAAAAGAAAGACAAGGCTCAAGGAAAAGAAAAAGTGGGACTTGAAGGAAAGGAAAGATACTGGCACATTGTTGCCTATGATGAGGACAGTGATGGACACAGACCGGGCTCAATGCAGCTAGGCCCCCATGAGCCCATGGTCGATATATAGATAGGGGCCAAAATATGTTCTTAAGGGTGGAGAGTGGGGAGGAACATTCAGTAGTAACAGCTCCAGTTGCCCCTCTGAGCAGAGAGCGCATCCAAGTGATTAGTGCCACTGGAATTTCAGAAAAGCGCCAGTTTTGCTATGAAAGGACATGTGAAATTGGAGGACATAAAATGAAACATGAATTCTTGTGTATGCCAGAATGGCCTGGCCCCTTACTAGGAAGAGATTTATTATCTAAATTGGAAGCTACAATAACTTTCACCCAATGAGGAAATGCATCTCTGCATTTGGACCCATCTCATCATGATGGTAACAACTAAAAGAGAGGGTGAATGGCAGTGTTACAATGTGGATGATATTTTCCAGGCTCCACAAGAATTAAGAACTATGTTTCCTAGAGTATTGGCAGAGGAATCACCCTCAGGCTTAGCTAAGAATCATCCACCCACAGTTATAAAATTAAAAGACAATTCAGTCCCATTGGTGTAAAACAATACCCAATGTCCAGGCAAGCTGGAATTGGAATTAAACCCCATATCATGAGATTAAAGGAATTCGGACATTGGAGAACGTATGACACCTTGGAACACCCCTTTGCTGCCAGTTCGGAAACCCGATGAGGACTATAGGCCAGTGCAGCATCTACGGGCTGTAAATGACAGAACAGTAATGCTGCACCCAATGGTCCCTAACCCCTATGCTGTGTTGGGTCTGAAACCCCCAGAAGCAGCAAGGTTTACTTGTTTGGACTTAAAAGATGCCTTCTTTTGCCTTCTCATCACTCCCCTCAGTCAACCCATCTTTGCATTTGAATGGGAAGACCCAAGTGATGGGAAAAATACTCAGTTTACTAGGACTAGATTGCCACAGGGACTTTAAAACTCACCCATGCTTTTTGGGGAAGCCCAAGCCAAGGACTTGCTTGCCTTCCCTGAGGAACAATATAGCTGTGTCCTATTGCAGTATGTGGCTGACTTACTGTTATCCAGCTCAACCCAAGAATGGTGCTGGGAAGGCACCAAAAAGTTGTTGCTGCACTTACAGGAAAACTGGTTGTAAGGTATCATGGGAAAAAGCCCAGATTTGTGTACAGCATGTTAAATATTTAGAATTTCAAATAACAGGGCATGCGTTGCCTAGGAAATAAAAAAACAGGTTATTAGTGTCATCCCTAAACCCCAAACAAAGAAACAGCTGAGAAGGTTTCTTGGGGCAGCAGGCTTCTGTAGAATTTGGATTCCAGGTTTTACAGAAATCTCTAAACTCCTTTATGAAGCCCTAAAGGGACAAGGGGGGAATCATCTGCATTGGACTGTAGAACATGGGGAAGCTTTTAAAAAAATTTAAAATTGACTTAGACAGCCACCCCAGCCCTAGGCATACCAGATGTAAAACAGCCTTTTACTCTGTATGTGACTGAAAAAAACCCCATGTGGACCTTGGAATGTTGACCCAAGAAGTAGGCCCATGGAATCAACCGGTGGCATATTTGTCTAAAAATTTAGATTCAGTAACAAAAGGATGGCTTCATTGTTTTGGGGCCTTAGCAACTTCAATTCTGTTGATTCAAAAAAACAGACAAGCTGACTTTAGGTCAGGAACTGACTGTGCAGGTTCCACACCCAGTCCTAGAACTGCTGAACACAAGGGAGCATCATTGGCTCTCAAATAATTGGGTTGCTCAGTATCAAGCCCTTCTCTGAGAATCCCTGCTTGTGGTTTATTTCTACAAAAACTTTAAATCCTGCTACCTTCTTGCCCACAGAGACAGGCTCTCCCAATCATGACTCCTTGAGTGTCACTGATGAGCTCTTTTCCAGCCGCCCTGACTTGCAAATGACACCCTTGTCCAATGCTGACCTTGTTCTGTTCACAGATGGGAGCAGCTTTGTGGAAGATGGGGTTCATCATGCTGGATATGCAGTAACCATGAAGGATGAG